GTCTACAGTTTGAAAAATTGTATTGATTCAGCTGGATCGGAAACATGTGATGCTAATGTTAAGTTTTCTAAATTAGTACGTTTAAGACGTTTTACATCGCGAACATTATTTTTTGTTAATGCAGCAACTTATAATTATTTTTATAAAATGGAAATTATTTTAAAAAGATATTTACCTTATATTAAAAACAAAAACTATAACTTAATAAAATTTTTCATTGAAAAAATGACTAATATTCGTTGTAATGCATTAAGGACTTGCAATTTATTTAATAAAATTATGAAATATTACATTTCACTTCGAATAAAAATTTATTGTAAGAAAGGTAGATTAAAAAATGAAATTTATAATAGTAAAATAAAACTATGGCACAACATGCTATTATAAAATAAGTAAAAAAGTAATATTAAATAATATTTTAAATAATATTTGTATTTTTATAAATATTATTTTACTATTAATACTATTTGTATTTTTATGTGTTTATTGTGTGCATATATTTGTATTTCATTGTATTTTTATATATGAAATAAAACGTAATAATGAATTTATCTTCTTATATTATCTTATATTCTATTCTTATAGCCTGAGCACAATAGAGAAAATATTAGGAATAAGAATTAGAAATAAAAGTTAAATGTACTATACAATGACAAAAAATAAAATATAACATATAAATACAAGAAGTATGTCATGGTTGCATGATATACAGCCTATTTATATACATTTATATGTTATATTTTATTTTTTTGCATTGTGCATTACATTTAACCTCTGTTTTTAATTTCTATTCCTAATAAGTTTTCTATTCTGCTCAACCCTTATATTGAATAATACCGCGCGTGAAGTATAAATTTAAGATATCTTGTTGGTTCTGCCATATTTTGTCACAACCAATAAGAGTGAAGACAACTGTGTCCAGATCATAGACGTATAATATATAGTCTGCGCGTTCCTTACCTTTGCCATGTTAAGAAAATGTCTTCAACGTTGAGAGAGACAGCTGGTGTTGAACAGTAGCCTCATCTTTGTTTAGCGAAGTAGTGGGGGAAAAAGAAATCTTCGCTGATTGGCAGAATAGTAGTGGAAAAGTAGGGATAGAAAAATAGTGGGGGTGAAGAAGAGTGAAAGAGATTAAGGGGTGATGGTAGGTTATAGGTGGTATGAAACAATAGGCCCTGATCCCACCACAGACATTGATAGACAGAGAAAGAGTTACTATTCAAAGTGTGTTGTCTCTCTCAACGTTGAAGACATCTTTTCAGCCAAACGCGTAGTCTATATATTATACGTCTATGGTCCAGACTCATACTACAGGGACACTATGTAAATCCAAACATGCGACCTCCACGCGATGTACCTTGAGTAATGCTAATGCTGGTAATTCTCTTAACTTTCAAGCCTTATAACTCGAAAAGTACTTAATAAAAAAATATTTTATTATAGTGTTTTTTGGAAAGCGCTTGAAATAAGCTATACACAACATGCAATAAAAAATGGGAGTCCCACTTAAAAAACTTGACTTTTATATGACCTTGCAGACTCCATTCAAGAGATTAACCTTTTATCATCAGTAAGTACATTTTTTAAGTCCTACAACTTTGCTTCTTACATATTTGTTGCTAGATCGTTTTCGAGATGTTTTAGCGTTTCCAGATTTTTTGAAGACCTTGTATATAATTATTTTATTACTATAATTTGATTTATATAAATTTTGCCAATTGTTGCAAGTGTCAGAAAATACTTAATAATTATTTTTGTAGAAAAACGGACTTACATTGCGGATTTCATATTATCTGTTGTTTTACAATAATTATTATTATTTTTACCTGTCAAGCGTTATAATGTGTTATGCGAAGCACACCAGATCAATTAATAATTTAATCTTTACATATAAAGTGTTGGATTACGCTGCGTTTGTATATATTTTGGATTATTGCCCGATAGTGGATCACATAATTTTTGTTGCAATATAAATACTCGCATCACATTACTTTATACAAAATGTCTCGTATGATATATTTTAAGGATATTAGTAATAATGGTTATATTAATATCAGAGTATCAATAACTTTTATGTAAACGATTGAGAATGCAATCTGTGTGAAATATACAATTTTAAACCATACTTAATAATTTCTAAAATGCTTATGATTTATATTTCAAATATATTAAAACAAAAATATTATTTCCTAAAATAAATTAATTTTAATTGGAGCTAAACTACTTAAATACTTGACATTACCTGAACAATACATCAACTGGAATATCTCAAGCAGAAATAATTTGTTATTAAATTATTTTTAAATAAAATAGATTTACCTGCTTTGAAATTAAACAATATACGTGCATAAAATGTGGGTGTGTGCGTGTGCCTGTGCGCGCATATATGTATATAGAGCAATGCAAGTTATGTTAGAGAATCATGAAGTCATATACAAGAGTCATGTACAGAATATATACGAATCGTCGTTGCATTTTTAATTGATAATCCGATTAATTATGCATTCAAACTCTGAGCTCATTATTTAGTCGACAAGCGCAAACAAGGGCAACAAACCGTCAAGAATGTGACATGCAATGTGCAGTTTGCATGCGAAACAGCTGTGTGTATGTTTGTGTATATTTTGTGTGTGTGTGTTCTAACATAACAGCTTTTACTAAAAGAGATTAAATTTATAATAGATCGACATTATCGGTCAGTCGTCTGCTCGCAGTGGTTGTAAATTTAGAATATCTCAAAGAGAAGTTTTAGTCCTGCGAAAAGAATATTTGTTTTATACGCTCAATAGAATTACACACTCGTCAGCTTTTTTGATAATTGCGAGTTTTTTTATAACTTTTGTTTTCATCGCAATTACATTATACACACATGTATGTAATTTCTCTTTCAATATTTGCTATGTAAAATTTTTTGACAAATAGACATATAAGTATCTATGAAGAATAAGGATACAGTTTTAAAAACTGTTTTTTTCTATTCAACGACAAAGCTAATCATATCTAACAAAATCCTCGATAAACGTTTTTATATATAAACACTTTGCTTTTTATTACACTATGTGCGTATTTCTAGCTTGTAGTGTGAAAGCATGTAGTCGGGCATAAGACACAAGTTCGAAAAACGAAATATAAACATTCCTTACTTTCATCAGTTTGCTGTGATTTTACAATAAAAAGAAAAGTAATAAAAAGTTATAAATGCGCACAACGAGTGCATAAGAAAGAAAGAAAAAATTGAGAGAAAGAGAGAGGCGCCAAAAATTTGTGAAGAAGTTCGATGGGCGTCGAGGGAACGGCAACTCTTCACTGCGTTGCAACTTCAACGGAAGAAAACTCGAGAGCTGTTAACGACACCCCATGCAGCTTTAAGAACTAATATTTTTATCATTGTTTCTTTTTATGACGCGCCGGGGTAGTATGGCTTCGTAATATAACATTAGGCGGCTCAAATATTTTATACGTAACGTGGTTTTTAGCGAAATGCATGAAGTGAAAATTATAAAGATATGACCCGTATTGAAAATTCATATGTATAATTTTATTTGTAAGTTTTTTACGTATAATATTTTATATGTAAAAACAGTTAAATTTATATAGTTTTTTCTTTATTCTCATATCACTATATGAAAGAAAGCTATTACTTTGTCACTCGTAACGCCCGAGAAAATTTATGTTTTAATCTCTAAAAGAAAACATCAGATGCTTTTTCAATTTAAATTCTTCCTAAACTCAAGCTTAGAGAGATACCTATTAACATATATCGTAACGTGATTAAGTTTTGTTGAGGCAAAAATAACAATCGATCTAGATTACTTAGAATGAACAAAACTACCTATTTATTCATTTTTTCATATAGTTTTTTGCTTTTTGTATAAAAATATCAAACTTCATTCTGCAAAAATTCATAAACAAAGATGAAAATAAAAGAAAGATAAATCTCTGCAGAAAACAATTTTGAAAATTAGGCTATTCACATCACATGAACGTGAAGCTGAATGCAGACAACTCATAGGTGAGATCGTTAGCGCCAAGAGTGCAACTTGGCATTGTGTCCCAGAGTCCTCAAGTGTTGGCTTATTGTTACCCGCACCTTCCGGTGGGCAGAGAGAGGCTATCCTTACATATTTAAAAGAGCCCATTAGTATATTGTAGCTGGTGCTCGCGCTGAAAAATATCGCAAAATCTTTAAGTATATTCTTGTATACACATATTGTGTTTTGCTTTGCCGAGTTTCAATCTGTAGTATGGCATTTAATATAATTGTGTTGTACAGCTAGTGTTGTAGCAAACGGAGATGATTAATGATTCATCGAATTACCTTGAATTCAATCAATCAATTTAACTTTGTTGAATGCAGACATTGTGACACTTGTCGTTAATTGATGCTTTTAAAGCGAAAGAGTGAAAATGAGATAAATATATAATAAGGATATATGATATTTAAACAAAACTGTAAGCAAATATGTGAAGATCAACTTTCTATGTTTGTATTTGAGATGTTTCTCAATTTTATATGTATATATATATACATATATATATGTATACATAAAAAATAACAATTATTTTTTTATTTTCTTAAAACTCTACAGAAAAGAAAATAAAATAGATAAATAATTTTAATAATTTATGCGATGAATATTTTAATAAATAAATTAGTCAAAGAATGGCGCGAACAATTGAAAATATGTTTGAACGGACGGCAGAACACATACAGATGCTTTGTAAAAATCATAATGTGCTTTATTTGCACGACACCGCTTAGTCTAAATATACATTAACGTCTGGCTCGCACGCTTCGGATTCGACTCAAGCCGATAATTTAAGCGACATGTTGCAAGAATTTTGAAAACTATGTGGAAAGCTTCGCTATGTCACTACTTACAAAATTTATTTTTTATTGATAATTTCGATTCTAATCACTTTTCTTTCATAATTATACATAACAAAACTTTGTCATTAAATATTTAAATGAAACTTCCGTCGTGTTGATCGTACTAAATCATACTAGATCTATTCGGTCATGATAAATTTCATGATTCTCGCGAGTGAATTCAAGATCGTTATAAAGAACAGCGACAGCTACAATCTTAGCGGCCGAGAAGGCGCGGTAGGTGGACTCATTAAACTTTTCGTCGTTTCATCCTTCGGAAGATCGTGTCGGGAGCAACGACTCCCAAGGGAACAGCAGTGCGGCACGATTATACCGACCGCTCTGTTTCGAAAGAGAGGGAAAGATTATACGACCGTGGCACGTGAAGAAGAAGGGTTAAAACGGTACATCCGCACGTTTCTTTTCTTTCTCTCTCTTTCAACTCGTTGAGAAAATTCGAACGAGGGAAAACTAGCAAAGACCTGAGAGGATCATCTTGGTTCTCTCTTTTCGTCTCTCACCGAACCATCTGGTGTACTTTTGTCGCGGACGTCCGCCGGGCCCAATCGCACGAAATTAATGTCTCGCCATTATTAGCAGAAGTTAGCCGACTGCGAAGAAGTTGCCACGCCACGGATATACTTTTAGATAGTGAGAGGCAGGGGGATAAAAATAGAGAGTCAAGTAGAGTTATAACTTGTTGGTCTGTGATCAGCGTGTTTGCTACCATGTCGCGCCATGTTTCTTCCTTAATGCAATTGCTTGTCGGCGAGAGATCCTCGGATTAGATGACACATGATGAGACTCGCATCTTTTCCTTGACCAACAGAATTTTACGGCCATCGCAGTTTTGATTATCGTAAAAAAAATGTTTGTAGTGAGATTTTTTTTATACCTACTATTTAATATATTTCACATATTATAAACTATTTACTATTTAATATATTTTATATGTTACTAAAAATATCTATAATCTGATAATAATGAGATTTATGTGAAATGTGTATAATATTTAAACTTATTTACTGTTTACTAAAAATGTCTTCGGCATACGTGATGGTCTGATTGCTTTGTAATTAACTGCGTCGTAATAACATACAGCACGTTTGTTTGTTTGTTAGTTTTATCATCTGTATCAATTTCACAGAAGTGCTTACATAACATAACGATCAACGTCCTCTATACGACATACTGTCATCATACTGTCTTAATGAGCGGAAAAATAACAGTCAAAACGCCATAACTAAAGCGCGACGTTGGAAAATATCTCACTCACCCCTTCCGTGGATAATAGAGCGAAAATCAGTCGTTATCGTAAATTCTTAATCCAAATCGGCGGTAAAACTGAAAGTTAACCAAGTTCGGTACCATTAGCCGTAACAATGCTCGCAGTAAGTTCTTATGGTAACGATGCTGTAACGACGGTTTCCGGAGCGTGGCAATTTATCGCGATAAAGTCACCGATGGGACCTACAAGAATTAAACTCACCCAAAAGGGAAGATCGGCGACGGTGCAGCGAGCGTCAAATAGGTATTAAATTTTTAAGTCTGTTATATCACGGCAATTTCTTGGTTAATTGCCCGATAGAAAAGTCAGTTTTGACAAAAAATCAATTTGAAAACAGTACTTTTTCAACTCTCTAGTAATAAAAATTACTGAATTACGAGAATGAAAGAGAAAAAAAACTTATTCGCAAACTTTGATTGATAATTGTTATTGGTAAAACATACCTAAAAAATAAGCTGAAATTTTGTAGAAATAAATTAATTAAGTATATATCGTCTACAAAGAAGCGATTAGAATAGATCTGTCTAACACTTGGAAAGTTAGGATTTTGTAAAGATGTCTGTCTCTTTCACATGTGATGAAATATATACCCCATTCAGCTTCAGCGTACGGAGCCGGCAGTTCGAATTGAAGCGGATTACTCGGCGGAAATTAGTCAAAACTATAACAAAAGCGATGCGCGCGCGTGCTCGAGCGGCATTCGGCGCGACGGTGTCCGCAATCGCAGTTAAATCGCGCGCAATCGCGCAATTCTGCAAACGGGGCGATTCGAGCCTTTGAACAAAAGATGTAATAATTCTGCCCTCGTTTTCTACAGCGCTTTCCCATCTCACTACGCATTTTCATCCTCACACCAGCCTCATCGTTCGTCGTCGTTTTCCCCGCGACGAAGTCTTTCCCTCGCGAGAAACCCTTTGTTTGCAAGACAAACAAAAATCGTTTGCTCGTAAGAGTGTTGGTGAAGGACTGACTTTCTCTCTTTCTGTCTCAGAAGAGAGGACGGAATTTTAATTACGGAATATTACCTGAGGCCGCGTGTAATTGCATTATTCGATTTCGGAATAAGACATTGGGTGAAGATATGACGAGCACGATGTTTAACGCAGATTTTGGAATGCGATAATAATAATAATAATAATAATAATAATAATAATAATAATAATAATAATAATAAGATTCAACACATACATACAAGTGAAATCAAAATTTACAATAAGTTGTGGATCTAATAGGCAAGGCTGCAGCTGATAGACTGTTCAAAAGCCCGACCTAAGATTTTTTTAATTATGTAACTTAATAAAACTGCACTACAGAATAAACCAACTGATATTAGTGATCAAAAATACATTTAAAAAATCAGAACTAAAAAAAATCATTTAATTAAAATGATTAGATATACATATACATATAAAGCTGAATAAAATAAGGATAAAAAAGTTTTAGCTTGAACATTGTTTGGAAGCAACTTGAAAAATTTCACGGCTGCACAAAAGAAAGCAAATTTAAACTCTGTACGATAACAAGGAAATGATAGCAGTTGACAAGTAGAAAAAAGTGAGCCTGAGTGAAAATCAATATTTTGACAAAGTAATTCACAAAGATAAGACAGAATTCCGGTTTAAAGAACATTATGAACCAAAGACGACACAAATGCATTCAAATAAAAAATTAACATTATCAAATTTACAAACATATGAGAAGCAAAGACATGAATTTTGTACACGCTGAACACGGCAAGCAGATATTAAGACAGATAAAGTACACAGACAAACATTGATATAATTAAAAAAAGACAGCACTAGAGACTTTGGTGCCAAAAGAGTAGTAGACAAGATACTACACGCGGAAAGTGTAACATACACAGACGTGGATATGCAGCTTGACATTTGACAGAAATAACCTTCGAAAGACCAAGATCAATCAACATGAACTCCGAATATTTTAATGAACGACTAGAATAAAAATGTTAACTGATTGAAAACGAGACAAAGAACATGCAGAACTGAAAATCATGAACTTCATGAGATTAAAATAAAGATCGTTTAAGCTGGCCTAGTATATAGAGCAGTGTGCAACAAATTACTATTTAACACATTAGTCAGAGATGAAGTTTTATAAATCAGCTATTCGAAAATGTTAAAAAACGTTATCGGCATACATATAAAAATGAGATACAATTGGAAACAAAGACAAATCAGCAAAATATAGGGTAAAGAAAATTGAATGCAGAATTGATTGAGACAAGCCTGGAAAGAAGAGAACAAGAAGTGAATCACGAATAATCAAGCGCTCGCTGGTAACGGTCGATGAAAAAGAAACGTAAGAGACCTAGAGTAGACTCAAAAATGCCGTAATATTATAGTTTGATCAGCAGGAGTTCATAGTTAACAAAAAAAGTCTTCTAGAAGACGAAATTAGAAAGAGAACCATCAAGAGAACGAAGAACAGAAACGGTTAGTCAGATCTATACGATAGAGCAAAGTTATATGAGATAAGCAAAAACCGCATTTGTCATAACGCACAATTCACTTTTAGACTTAAAGAAGACTCGAAATAGAGTCAAAGTTAAAGAAAAAGATTCAGATACGTTCTCTCTCTAAGCAAATTCAAACTTTCAAAGGTCGAGAAAAACGAAAGGGAGTAAAATAAAAATACACGTGTGTTCTTTATAAAAGCCAACACAAAAGTCGGATTGATTGATCGGATTTTATTTAAATTTTTCTCACTATGCAGTTTGATTCTATGTGATACAAGGGAAAAAATATCGGCGGGCTCGTTGACGAATAAAGTGGTCTGTTTTTAATATATCAACGGCGCGAAATGTCACCAATAAGCCGGTTGAATACGATATCGTAAACATTTTAATTAAAGCTGGCGAAGGATATTTAATTTCGAATAATTAATGGTCGTCCGTCGAAATTCATGCGTCCTCAACAAAAACCATCACCCTCTCGATTACTCTTGATTTTCATTACACGAGTCAACAGCCACGAGGCTGACGGCTATTAAGCGCTCTTTTTTCCATCCCCCGCTGACTCCGAAACGAACTTATGGATATTCTCGGCAAACGACGGAGATTCAAACACAGCTCACGACACATTTTATCTCGCGTTTTTGTAAAAATCTTTATTTGAGTGTTTCATTAAACCATGAAATAGTGTATGCTTTGTAGTAATGTACAATAGTAAAAGACTATTTCGAATGTTATTCGATATTATCATGTAAAATACCGCATTTCTTAATTAATTTTATATAAAATAATTAACAGATATGCAAATGCAACAATTTATATTCATTATATATAATATAATATGTTACGGCTTATGATTTATTTTGTATTATAGTAATTACGATGTAATTTATTAAAGTGCTTTGGTATCTTTGCAAAATTTGCGGTTTAACGCACTCGCTTCGCGGGCGATCTTACGTAAAAAGGTTACACATGCCGAGTTCATATCTACCTACTACAGCGCAAATATTCGGGCAAAAGTTACAACGACGTAATGACATTATGTCGTCGATCTTTTCATCGTATTTATGCAGCCGTGAAACCTGATCTCGCGAGCAAAACGCGCGGCTGGCTAAAAGATGAACAGAAGAGAGTGTGAGGTGGAGAAGGGCGCGTTTTCGAACGGCGCGCCAATTTTCTTTGAATAACAGCCGCGTCTCGCTCGCATGCAGACAATGCACAGGCGGATTCAATAAAACCGCAACAATAAGGGTGAAAACTGCGGGGCTGCCGCACGAAAAGGAGGGACAGAAACGGGCAGAGGGGAAGGAAGGAGAGGGCAGAAAGGGGCTACGGCAGCGAGTTGTACCGACGCCAGAATGGGAAAGCGAAGGGTAATTTGAATGAAGAGACAAGAGAGGAGAGGAAAGACAAAGCATGGGCGAAGCGCCCGGAACAGAACGGAACGGAACGCCGGGGTGGAGAGGAAGTATTCCAGTGGTTGTCGGCAGGAGGAAGAATACGGTCCGGAGGAAGGGATGAGTGAAAACAACCGCGGAATCAAATTAGAGCGGCGTAGTAGGACGAAGGACGGAAGAGGAACGATGGGACATCAACGGGGTTGGTACGCTAAAAGGAGAAGAGAAAGAGCGCGCGCACGCGGCAGCACGGCGCGGGGTAATTATATTTACAAGTGGCAGTTCTCGAAAACAAAAGACCTCAAGATTGCTCGATTCATTCGAGAACTCCCGCGGAAGAATCGCTCTTCTATCTTCCTTCTCGCTCTCTCTGCGACGCGGATTACTCTTTTTGAGAGAAAAGTCATCGTCGACGAATAGCCGCAAGTTTACCTAATATCACACGAAGAAAACGAGCAATCTCCAATGAAATTGATCAGGCCAAGTTCTATCAGTAAAATTGTTGAAGTCGCTAAAAACCTCGGTTTTTCAAGCTACGTGACACACAAATGCAAATAAATGTGATCTTCCACCGTCATTTATACGAGTATTTCAAAGAACAGTCGCGTAACTTTGCCGGATGTCGAAAATTCCGGAATTAAGTCTGTGATTCAATTAGTAAACAAGATTTATCTAAGTGATTATTCTTACCACTTTTGTACAACGTGCATTTTACTTTCAAAATTGTAAACCACTTAGGGTGAAAGATTGACTGTTATTGACTCGGTCGACTGTAAATCAAATAAAGTAACAGAGCTAAGATTAATCTTTGCTACATCGTTCGAGCAAACTTCTACCCTCACATTATTACATCGGGTTGTTTCCCGAAGATTTATTCCATCGTTTTCTTACCTTCGATCACAATTTCGCTCTTGCGATGCTCTTTCGCTCTTCACTAAATATGCATTTTAAAGTAGAGAAATAATTTCTATACTATTACACCATATATTTGTATATAATCTTTTAAATGTTTAAAGAAAAAGTATTTTATTTCTAAAGTGTTAAAATTAATGTACATACACACGCGCGCATATTTACGCGCACATATATTTATATTTGCAAAAGAATAATAGTAGAAAAATTTGTATTTGCTCTATAAATTTTTCACGGAATAACGCTTTCCTAGAGACATTATATACATATTAGAATATTGTTTTTTATACGTATATGTGTAATCACATGTGTATGGTTTTTATTATGCGCTAAAAAATGCTTTCGTTTGATGAGTCAATAAGTTTGTTTTTCTGTGTTTTTCAGTACCAGTCGAATGATTTGTTTGCAAACTGGAGTTACGATTGAAAAAGTGTTCGCCATGAAAGAAAGAAAATGAAGACAGGTAACGAGTTTTTTCACCTCATGCTTTTTCAAAGGCTTCCTCGTCTTTCTTACATCGAAGCCTTTGAACTTCCCCCTGAGTGTTTTCGCGGCGCGATTGAGATTCTTTCCCTTTCGCGAAAGGTTATAAAGCAATTAAGTGATATTTGTTTGCCTAGTTTCACCAAGATTACATCAACCTCACAACTCGATCTAATCAAATTATTACCTTCTACGGAAATATCGCGACTGTTTAGTTCATTTTCCCATTCGAGCTTTTATATGAAAAGAAAAAATTTATTATCTTTTTTTTTTCATATAATA